TAAATAATTTGAATAGTTTATTACAAGCTAAAGTAAACTACATTGTGCATATAATATAGTATATAAAGTAATTGAAATAAATAAATTATAAACTAATTAATTACAGTCATTATTAATAAAATATTAAACACAAATCTTATTCTGTCCGAGCCAACCTACGACAGCATTTTTGGGTCTGAACCCGACAAGTTGGGGCGGGTCCAATCGGATTTGGGCACAGAATCAAAGCTCTAATCTCCTGTATTAAAGAGGGGAGCCTGTTTCAAAATGTAGTTTTGTGACTATCATTATTTCCGCTTACATGTTGTATATTCCTGCATTTATTTGTGTTTAATAAAACTACCACACAGCAGATCATGGGGCCAGATAATCTCCCAGCACAGGAAACAGCACACAGCACACAGAAAGTGGCGGTTTGTCAAGAAATTAGTCTTTCTAGACCTTTTTCACAGCAGGAATTTTTTTAATTTGGCCTTATCATAGCAGGATAGGCAGGCATAAGTAATGACATTAATGATGACGCCAGTGCATTGCTCCAGTAATCACATAATAGGACCATTAATTAAACCTGTGCTATTCCTGCTCTGACATATCAAAATGTATGCCATGAACACGGCCTACTGTGACAGTCACATGGTTCTTTCTGTGTGGTGCTCCCCCTGGGTTGTGGTGTTGCCTGTTTGAGGCCTCCAGGCAGTAAGTGGATAAGGAGAAGGACAAGTGCTAAAAGCAGTCTGTCAGTGAGTGAAAACAGACAAGGGGCAAACCTTCTGATAAGGAAAATGAAATTCCTTCTCGGTTTTTATCTCAGTTGGAAAACAGCCCTAATGAAGGTATGCAAGATAGCGTGGGGCAAATCACACTTCAGGCAGGTAGAGATGACATGCCACTTCTTCATGCCACAGTTCAGACTGCCCCCAAAGAGAGATAAATAGGAAATTATATTCCACTTTTAAAACTATGTACCTCAAGTTTCGACTCCTGACAAAACACAGAGCTACAGAGCCTAGACCCTCCACCACACTTACCGTACCCCTCTTAGTTTTCCTCTGACTTCACTGAACTTCATTTATCTTCCTTGCAGAAACAAAACAACCAGTGATTTCCCACAATCTAAGAGAACAACCTATAAACTCCTTTGTTGGTCTCCCTGCGAACACTTTTATTTCACAGTCGAGGCTGAGCTCTTCTGGCCCGGTGGCACAGACCCAGAACTGCGTTCGGGACGATTAAAACAGAATGTAAATGACCTTCTCTGCTTTTTCCTCACAAAGCACTTCTTATGCTTATCCGTGGCACCCTGCCCCTTCCTGTCTCTCTCTCTCCCACCTCTATCATCTCAGAGAAGAAGGGGGGAAAGTCATTAGGCACAAATGGGGAGGAGAGAGCAGCTAGTGGTTGCTATCGCCATGAAAGTCAGGGCAAAGCTCAGCCACTGAGAGATAGTGAGAGGACTGCACTGGGGAATATCTGCCCAGAGAATACAATACGTTTTCAGCTCATTAAGTTGGATAAACAAATGGCTTACTGTAGGAGATGCTGAGAGTCATGGACATCAGCAGGAAAACATTGGAAAGTAGGTGTTTTTCAATTGTCATTGTGATCATCTTTACACCTATCGTGTTTTCTGTTTTCTTGTTGACCATTGGAGATACTTATTCGGCATGGCTTTCATCATATGAAAGGGTGTAATTCAGCATCATAATCATGTAATTACTGCTATGTGCAGCTTCATATGGTGATGCAATGCATTGTTACAAACTTGTTTTGTTTTTTCTTATTATCAAGATCAATAACTCCAGAGGGGCGGTGGAGGAGCATTAATGGCATGCCATTAAATTTACTTGAGGACGCCAGTGCAACCCTTGTCTGGCACTAAATTGATGTTTAGGACCAGTGAGACAGCGAGCAAGATGGGTAACGCCATGCGAGGCGTCATTGCCTTCATTCCCTCAGAGCGCTGCCAGCGCTTCTTGGTGGGGGACCTGAAGGAGATGCCACTTGATCGGACCCTGGACCTGAGCAGCCGGCAGTTGCGTCGGCTGCCTGTTACTGCCTGTGTCTTTGATGAACTGGTGAAGCTCTACCTGAGTGACAACAACCTCAGCAGCTTACCGGCTGAACTGCAAGGCCTGAAGAAACTGCAGCTCCTGGCCCTTGACTTTAACTGCTTTGAAGAGCTCCCTGCAGCTGTTTGCAGATTGCCCCAGCTCAGCATCCTTTACCTGGGTAACAACAGGCTTTATCGTCTCCCCAGGGAACTGGGAGAGCTCAAGGAACTTAATACTCTGTGGCTGGAGACTAATTGCTTCACGGTTTTTCCTGAGGTGGTTTGCCAGCTCTCTAATCTCAAGACCCTGCACCTCGGTTATAACCAAATACAGAGTTTACCAAAAGAGCTTAGCGGGTTGGAAGAGCTAAGAAGTATCTGGCTTGCAGGGAACCAGCTGGCAGAGTTCCCACCAGTGTTGCTGGAAATGCACTTTCTAGCCGTCATTGATGTGGATCGGAACAGAATACGTCGATTCCCATGCCTGTCTCACATGCAGGGGCTGAAACTTGTCATCTATGACCACAACCCCTGCTTTAATGCCCCGGTAGTAGGCGAGGGAGTAAGAAGGGTCGGACGCTGGGCGGACAGCTCGGATGATGAACAGGAAGATGGCGGGTCAAAAGCAGTGAGTGAGACTACAGCAGAGGTCACGGAAGCACACGCTGAGGAGGAGCACAACATTTAGGGTCAAGGAACAAAGTGACTTTCAGCTGTAGCGAGGCCTGGCAGTACATGGTGACATTCAAGTGAAACACTTAGAGTGGAGTGTTGTACATCAGGCTGACGGCTGGTCCATATATGGTAAAGACGGTCGTATGAGCTTTAATATAAGACCAAAGGTAGTCCAAAAACATGGCCTGTGTGAAAATAAGAAATTAGAATCCTGAAATAAAAAATGTTTTTTTTTTATGTTTGAATACACTGAGTGAAATGTTGAATTTGTAAAACTTTGTATATGCTATTATTTTTCTCAACAATATAAGGGATTTTCTGTTTTTTTTCAGCTTTCTTTCTGCTATTATTTTACATATATTGGGAATTTTACAGGTAGTATCTGTGGGATTAAAGCAGTACTGGCAAGCATGTATTCCTACTTAATAAATATTAGTGGTGTATTTTGCAGACATTCATTCACAGTTTCTATTCAATGTAATATGCAGTTAGTTGTTGCTGAGGCTATACCGTAGTATAATGACCGCAATGTCAGAGGACGCATAACAAGCATGATGGCAGCATAAACTCAACAGGTTATGTGTGAGTTCTTACTTTACAGTGGAGGGACCGAGAATATAGCTCATTACAAAAATTCTTGTTCCAGCAGAGTCTGGGATAATATCTGTACCTGCTGATGCTAAATACAGTGAGGTTTTTTAATACCAGTGATGGATGGTTTTAGTCAATTAGTGCACTCCTTATCCAGACCAATGCATAATTCATCTGATAGATTGGGGCTGTGGCTTTGAATAAAGACTGCTAATGGGCCGTAACATCATCGCCATAAGGTTCTGAACTGAAACAGATCATGAGTGCAGCTTTCTAATTCCTCCGTGTACCAGGAAAATGTGCTGTAAACAAGATTAAATGTCATTCCACAATGTATCATTTTGCACATTTTGAATCGTTTCTAACAAAATGTAGGAAAATTGATTAAAACAGGCCCTTTTACTGGAAATGTGATTATTTTAAAAGGCATGAACACACTGAGCTACTTTATTTCCAGCCTTAATTCAGCTTCCTGCTGAAAACAACTACTTTATTGTGTGTGTTCTAAGAAATTCTAGAGGTTCAGTGATCATAAAGACGTCTTTCTGTGTCATCACTAAAATGCTGTATAATGTTAAAGTCTGTTAAACTGCCCTCTGCCTCACCCAACTGAAAAAGGTTCCTCACAGCAATAATGAGCTGGGAGGGAAATGTGTGGTTATTTTAAGTACCATAACAAAACCAGGCTCTTCTGAAGTTATCACATCTATCTTTATGATGTAGTTTGGTCTGTCTGGAAAGAGAGCACTAACAGAACACTACGCTGTGGACATACTGAGGCTCCCGATCCTCTCAAAATACAAATACATTTAATGTAGAATTCAAGCTTTCCATGCAATTGTTGTTGATGTCAAGACTTTTTATTGCAGATCATTCCAAACATTAGTTCCTTTCTTGACCTTTATTGTTTGCGAACCATGTAACTGTGCATTTTATTGAAATATTACACAGAAATACGAGTGTGTATTTTTCTTGTCACTCTACATCATTTTTCTATTCAAATATCACGGGTGTTACAGTAAGCTGCATCAAATGACCCTGTTCTTATTAACATCAGCTTTGATTGAGTTTCATGAATCTTTTAGAATAGAAAGATTTGTCCAAATAATTCTTGATTTAAACTGTTACTTTTTTAAGGATTTTTTTTGGATAATATTAAAAGGTACATCATGTTCTAGTATGTAAAAACAGTAATTATTGTATAAGTGTAAGTGTTCAGAAAAACAAGTACTTACAATCTTGTATTTCCAACAATGATCATTTTAAGGTAATAGAGTTTGATTAGTCACTATAAAGGTACTATTAGATTAGATTAATGGACATTATATCATATTGGATAACTGTTTGTTTTATGCTTTCTGATTTCACTATATTTTATCAATATAAATAAGAAAATGTGTAATTAGTGTATTTTTCTGTTAAATCTGGTTAAAATGTTATAAATCTAACATTAAAGATAGCTTTTGAAAAGCTGTTTTGTTTTGTTCAAAAATCTGATTTTTCCAAAATGGTAAATGGAAAGTAAATTTACTTAATTTGACCAAACTTTTGAACATAAAAATGGTTTGGTTCTCAAAAATGACTTAAACTCAGTCGCTGTAGGACTCTTTTTTTTTCTAAAGACAGAGATTCTGTTAATAGTTAGGGTTAGTTAGACCTGCTTTATTATTAAGAAACAGGAGTGTGCCGCTGTATATTTATTTAATTTGTTCAAAGCATAAATAACACTCAAGAAACATCTGCATGATAGAATCTAATATGACAGCTTATAAGTACAGTACATTATGAGTTTAACAATTTCTTTGGTAGAAAATTCTACATCAGCACAACTTGTACACAGCCTTACATAAACTTGCTTAAACCCTAAACTCCCCCTGAAGTACAGCTTAAATATATGGAGCTATATACCAAACATTCCTGCACCCCCTTTACTTTATTAGCTACAACAACCAGCATCAGTGTCCAAACTGTAACTTCACTTATCCTTATTAAACTGTATGTTGCCTGATGTTAAATACAAACATGTTTAATTAAACAGTCAAACTTATATTACTTAAAAGACAAATCTAAAATATCTTGGTGCTTTGTTGTAATGAAAACACAATAAATACAATTTGTACAACATTAAAGTGCAGAGTGTAAACTGCACTGTAACAGATACTGGATACAAAGATCTGATGGAATGAATGAATGAACGCCACCTTTGTAGAAACATTTAACCAAATGTGCCACGGCAGTTTAATTACCAATTACACGCCGACACAACTTCTCTGTAAATTCCCGATGTGCCGCAGGCTGGACCCTTTTTTTTTTCCTAGGAATTTAATAAAACAAAGACAGTTTTTTAAGCAGATTTTCCCAATCGAATTGCTCTGAGAACGCCTCTGAGATAGAAGTATCACGAGGCTTGTTTGAGCGTATTCTCTAAAAGGGTGTTAAACACTGACATTTCAACTTCAAAAGGTACCTTAAAATTTAGTTTCACGTACGGGGCATCAACATTCAAAAACAGAATCAACTCTACTGATCTAGAGTCACCACTTTAAACAACATCTGAGAAGTAAAACACGAACAGGTTCAACTGACTTTAAAAGAGTGTGTTCGGTTGTTGATGTTAAGGCTAAATTCCCATCGGGCAACACAGCTGGACACACCAGAGCTGGAATGTAGTATCTCCTGCTACAGACATCATTAAAACTCAATTGGCACAAACATAAGACTGTATTACTGCTGTTGTCTTTTTGGGCATGCTTCCCACTGAGCAGACAAAAAGCAGGAAGAGCAGAGGTCAAAATTACAATGAGGTAAAGTGTAGGAAGTACAACACAGGTATTTATGTTTGTATTGCAGGCCAACTCAAACTGTGGGTTTAATGGAGTCAAACAACATCTGCCAAATCACATTCAATATCTGCTGATGAGTGACGGGACACTGTGCGGCATATACTGCGAGTACTACAACTGTGTGCGGTGGCATGGTTCACCGGCTCATCCGCGGCCCGGGTCTCTGCCGGAGGGTCGTCTCCCCCGGCTGAGGCAGCTGGCATCCGTCTGACACGTCGGAGCTGTTTGTCTCCTC